TGAAGTTACTGTGGCCACAATCAGTGGTCAGTCACTGATTGTCAGTCAGTCAGTCAGTCAGTCAGTCAGTCAGTCAGTCAGTCAGTCAGTCAGTCAGTCAGTCAGTCAGTCAGTCAGTCAGTCAGTCAGTCAGTCAGTCAGTCAGTCAAAGTTTATTTGCAAAGCACATTCCAGCAACTGTCAAAATGACAGAAAAAGTTATAAACTCAGAGCCAACTCTCCAATAGAACAGTGCAGATCCAGTCATGCACAAACAAAGTGGCTTCCTTTTTGTTTTCTCTTAATAAAAGGGAGTTTCCTAACTTCTTGAGTATTTTTTGTCCCGGCTGCTTTGGTTTAGGAAATTTTTTAGTCTGTTCCAAGCACCATAAACTATTCTATTAAGTTCAATGGAATAAATGTGCTCTAGACTTTTATTAGGTCTGTTTAACTTTACAGAACTACTTGCTATAAAATTGAAATGAAAAGTAAACACGGCTATTGGAAGAAAACTCCTTGCTAATAGTGAAATTCTCATGCCACACTTTGGACGCCCCTACAGAATGTACTGTTGCCTTGTTCCATTACATAAAATCACTATGAAAGATATTAAAGCAGGTGGCATCAATATGAAAAAGTAACATTTTCATAAATCCCCAATACGATCTGGAGCCGTATAAAAGCCACTGACTGTTTGGAAATGTATTCCTTAGCCTCATTATAACCGCATGGGTCACAAAGCAGACCGCTAGCTTACATAATGACAGAGCATGACTGCAGCCAACAGAGGTTTGTCTCTGTGCTGAGTGAAATAAGAAGGTAGCAGCAGTTTGTATGACTGGAAACAGACCTGATGAGACAGAAAGCAGAAGAAATGTCCTGCACTGCTGCAGAGACACGCTGGAAAACGTCCCGCTTCCAGCTTGACCTGGAGCGTTTCCATGGAAATCAGGTTTCTCCCTCCCAGAGTTCATCTCATAAGAGCTGAAGGTTATTCGTGGAAAGGCTGAATCTTGCAAAAATTAACTTCCAAATTGACACAAACTCTTGAAATGATGTTTGAATTGAGAAAAATAAATAAACTGCCAATATTATCACTGATCGGAGTTTTTTGGGGGGTTGGAGAGATTGCTGCTGAAATAAAGTTTGCCTTCGATTTTTATTCATATTATTAGTTTGGTCATTTTTGCCAATTTCATAATTGTCTTATTATTTTTAGCCACACTTAATTTTATTTCCCGTTTAATGTTTAACCCACCTGTGATGTTATGATCATTATGCAGCACTTGGGTCAGTTCATGTGCTGAATAAAAAAACTTTGACTTGACTTGATTGGAGATGGGCTCTATCACTTTCATTCAAGTCCCAAAATAAAAGCTGTTGTTTTAGTTGTTCTTTTTTTTCTTTTCTTTTCTCTGGAATCCACCACTGCTGTTCCAGTCAGCTGAGAGCTGGGAATACGCCTCCACTCGCATAGTTAACACATGATGATTCCCAAAGTATTCAGCCACAAGCCCTACCTTTCAGCCAAGATGCAGCTAAAAACAGCAGCGGAGGGCGATGAAAACGAGGATGAGGATGTTGTCTTCCCTCTGCTTCTCTTTCAGAATTCACTCAGCGTGAGCAGTGGGTTCTGTCTGGAAGTGGGCCCCTGGGGGCCAGTGCTGGGGTGCGAGGGGAAGGGGCGGGAGTGTTACCGGAACACGTTGCGATACTGCGGAGGCAGTGTTTGTTTATGCCTGTGGCTTCTGTGAGGAAAGGAACATTACATTTATTTTATGCTTCAGAGGAAAACAAATTAATATTTAATCTGATTCCGAGATAATTTTTGAGATGACTAGAGGAAGTTGGAGGATTAGATAAACTTTATTAAAAGGGAAGTGTTATGTGATTTCCAGGCACATGTGGGCATTTTGTAGCACAGTCAAGTAACTATGCTTCACTCACAATCTCACCTGGATTTACGCCTGGACTTTGACTGGGCCATTCATGAGCATGCTTTGTCCCTGCCAAAGGAAAGCATCCACATTACATCTTCTTGGATGGATCACTAACGGTGGCTTTATTTTAGTCTCCTCAGCAGTTCCAGAGCAGAGCTCCCACCTGAATGCTGGATCGCTGCACGTCTTCTTAAGTTTGTTTCTAATAGGAAGTGAGCAATGTGAAAGAATTATAAGATTCATTTCAGGGGTGAGGGGAAGGATGTTTTTATTTGCATTTGATTAAAAATGGCATGTTTTATACAATTTTTTTTTCGTGCGGTATTAATGCTTTTCTCAGCAAAACATGGTAAAAATCTTCATTTCCCTGATAGCAGTCAAACCCTTCTCATATCTGACCAACTTTCTGTATGTGTCCACTGGTACTTTAAGGGCTTATCTTTGTTGATGAGCTCTGAGCCTGTGAGAACGGAAGGCCTCTTGCCATGACCCTAATCTTTCATTTCTGTCGTGGTTTCGCTATCAGATTGAAGCCAGAGCTGACAGAGGCGCTCTGAGACGCTGATATTACAAAAACACTGTCAGGAGAATCATTCTGGAAAGATTACGTTCGGCCGAAATCAGAGTGTTTTATTATTTTATCTTTTTCCCCAACATTAAGAGACGGCTATACCGAGTCACCGTTGACCTCCAGCTGCCAGTTCCAGACTCTAAGGATTTGTTCAAATCCTCCTGGACCTGGAGAACGATGAGAATCTATCCGGAACATATTTCATCATCATCCATCATTCCATTCTTCAAACAATAACACTCAGCTTTCCTCTCCCCTCTGGAAAACTGGATCCGTTCACCTGTATGCTCTCAATAGACCTTACAAACCCTAAAGCTGCAGTAACTTTTAGTAAAACATTTTTTATATGTGGGTTGAAGCTGTCGCTATGTCGTCACATTATAAGGCAGATAATCTGTGAAACAATCCGTCTCAGTTGCTTTCTCTCAGTGCTAACTGGAAACAACCAATCAGAGCCAAGGGAGGGTCTTAGCACCATCAATCACGCTCGTGTGCACGCTCTGTCTTTTCAAAGGTTATCTGTTTCATATTATGCTGCTTCAACAGTATAATTATTTTTTTAAAATAAATGTTACAAACTGCAGCTTTAACGTAATGTCCAAATTGTTTTCAGCTGTAGAGTCTCATCCAGACCAAAATGACACCAAACTGGTGTTTATTGGACAGCAGTTGTGATTATCACTTCAGAAACTTCATGTTTGTCTGAAGACAGCAGCTTCTTCTATTTCCATCACAGAAAAGCATATTCCACAGCACTGCAAATAAATATAGTTTTTAGTAAGTTTCATGTATTTTTACATGCCACACTTAGTCGCTCTGGGTGTGACTAAGTGTGGCACCTTCTAGGTTTATTTTCTTCCCTAAACAGAACAGACGCTTAAAGGTGTAAAACAAAGGTTCACGGGATCCGTAAAAATAAACCATTATTACTGAAAAAAATTTTAGAAGCTTGCAGAAAAGCTTTTGTTCAGTTAAATATCTTCACACTGAGAGGAAAACAGGCCCATTTCATCACTTCCTGTCCCGTAACGTTCGTCCATTGTGCCCCTGGAGTGCTGCACAATCTGTCCCCGGCACAACTCCCTTCCTCTGTACGTTGAGCCGAGCCCGACCCAAACCTTCGTCCTCCTCTAATATGACAGCTGGCCGGTGTGGCTGGCATCTCTGCTGGAAAATCCTCAGTGAGTGAGCTCATATGGGCAAGAAAGGGCAGGAAGTGGAATTTCCTTGCCAGGGCTGACCTCAAAAGATGCTGTAATACCTGCATCACCAAAACCCAGGATGTGAATCTGAAGGGAGCGGTGAAAGGAACAGGATCAGGAGCTTTGTCCTAATGAACTTCTTTCAAGTAATTAACGGAAACGAGTATTTAAAAGTATATGTTGAATATCCCTAAAAAAACAAACAGTAAATAGATTAGAGCTGAAGCGATTAGTCGTATTCATCATGATGAACTGATGATTATTGAAATAATCGTCAACTAATTTAGTAATCATGTTATAAAAAAAGGTCTGAGAGGATAATTGAAAAATCCGTAGGATGTCTCATTTGTTTTCATTCAATTAATCTATTAACCATCAGAATAATTGATTCATCGATTACTAAAAAAATGAATACAAGATAACTAAGTGTGTTGTGGAAGACATGGATTCACTTCTGGAAGATGAAATTACTGCTCAACTACTGACTGATGATTTATTGTCATGTTGTCTATAAACACCAAGAATGAGAGAATAATACCAGCAGTCGAGAGTTACAGTAAAGCTCTGGGTGGGTCATTTCTTCCCTGACTTTATTTTAGTGTCTTTGGTAAACACTCGTCATCATGGCCAGTAAAAACATAGCCAACTCCTCCACTACCCTAATCATCTTCAGCTCAATGTCACACACTTCTAGTTAAAACTAGAGCTTTTAACACTCAAGTGTTTCCTGAAGCAACCAAGGAATTCTCAGGTTTCCTCTCCAGGTAGGAAATAACCCACTTTATCTGGATTTTACTATTATTATTATTATTATTATTATCGAAGGACCAAATGAGCCTTTGATTGTTTTTCCATCTCAGGTTTTTGTCTCAAAACAAAGCGTTTGTTTATTAAAAATAGTGATTGACCTTTCAAACCCTTCTGGTATAGTTATTTGAAATTCTCTTTAATATATCGAACAAATGAATGAAAGCATATTTTACTGATATGATACATATTGGATATGTTATTTTCTATTTCAGATATCTCAAACATACTGAATAGTCAGAATGACAATGTCATAGAAATATGTAGAATGTGAAATAAAAAATACAAATAAAAAAGTATTAAGCTTATATATAATGTTCTTTTTTTCTTATTTTATTCATTGATTTTTTAATTAAACGACTATAAATGTCCGGACAGTAGATTGTGTGCGCGTGCGTGTGTGTGCGCGCGGTGTAAGTATGAGGCTGTCAATGGCGGTGGGCGGAGCTTGGTGACGTCGCCCTGATTGCGACCTGTGTGTGCGTGTGTGTGGCCGTGAATACAGGCGGAGCAGCTCGAGGATGGAGCAGAGGGACCGGGGAGCATCCGCCTCAGTTCTCATGCCCAAAACATCGCCTTCCGCGCGAGAGGATTCGCCTTCATTCCACGCGCAGAGTTTGGATTCCGCTCGCGTTCATTCGCGTCCTCTCTTCGTCGCTGACAGCAGCCGCGCGTCGGTCCTCTTCCGCCGTCTGACTGCGAACGCGGCGCCGGTTCTGGCTTTTATGTCCCATTGAAATTCTACTGGTGGGGGGTAAAAAAATAAAAACAACCCAGTGTGATACATTTCACGCGAGGTTTCACACATTCAGCTGGACTGCAAAGTCGCTCTTTCAATCGAAATGGATGAAGACAATCATGGTAAGCCTGGTCTCACTGGTTTCCATGGGATGGATGATGGATGGATGATGGATGAGTGAGTCAGTCAGATGAGATGAGGTGCTTATTTAGGTTTTACACCCAAAACCCACAAACGGAATGAAGTGTCTGTCGCCTATTCCCAGTTAGAAGGCAAAACAAAGAGCCTGACAGCTTCATTAGTGTTCATTTTCACTGCTGCTGTTTTAGAAACGTCAAAGTAATGAGTGTGTGTGTTTGTTCCCTGACGTCTTTCAGCTGTGCTTTGATGTTTCCTCACCATCATCTGGCGCCATTTGAAGCCTGCAAAGTGTTGGGGATGATCAACTGAATGATTGGCAGCCCTGCAATAGCTAGTGTCATGTACAAGTTACAACCTCAGGCAACTTTTTCACATTTTGTCGTGGCGCAATCGCAAACGTCAGTGTGGAAATGTTTGACAGCAGTAGTAGACAGTCACAGGAGAACTACCATCCTGAACACACCATCCCCAAGGGGATTTTTTTTGAAAGCGGAATCATGCTGTGGCACCAAAACCACTTGAATTACTTCTTAAGAGATGCAGCATTTATTTTCTTGTGAAGGATTCCATGCGATACAAATTTCAAAAGACGCAAATCAACCTGTTTTTGCAGCAGCTTTCTATGCGAAACTTTACATGTAGGCGGCCATATTGGATGTCGGGGTTGCAGATAGATGTCCAACTTCAATGCTCAGAATTCGGGTTTTGAAAGGTTTTTGATTGGTTTTCAAACACCTAACTTGGAGGTTTGAACATCTGAGTAAAAACTGTTATGTGGATGAAATGGAGTCAGAATGTAAAGAGTGTTTGATGGGAGACGTTAGAGAGCAAAGAAACTTGTACAATACGTCAATGAGGGCATTTAAGGACATTCAGAGAGAACAAAAAATACACGGCAAGAGATAACTCATGCCCGGGGTAATACACTGTGGAATTGTGGGAAATGCAGGAATTTGTCACAAGAAATGTATTCATTTGGTACGCTTGACTTTGAAACTTCAACTGTCTGGGAAGTGTGTGTGGAGTCCGAGCAGCTAATGCAATACGCACAGCATGCTGGAGTATGTGGGTATTTTTATTCTGGAAAATTAAAGAAGAAAAACTTTGTGTGTCAATACAATAAAGGAGAAACTATATTTCATTGTACTTAATCCAGGCTGGCTATTTTTGAGAAATCATCTTAGTTTACTGTTGTCATTTTATTGAGACAGATCAATTTAAATTCATGTAATAACTGATGCATTTTGTGTTGTTACTTATAATTATACAAGATGCAGCTGAATTAACTAGAATCCGTATTACAATTCTGGGCTAGGCCTGAACAATAAATCAATAACAATATGTCAATTATCTGTGTTCAAAATCGACAGATAATACATTTGATAGAATGTTCAATAATTTAACTGCACTCCAATCCAGAACTGCACTGCATTCTGGGGGATGTAGGCAGAGGTAAGGATTTAGCGAGCTAAGCTAGCTGAGTGGCATCAACTAACTCACTCTTTGGTTACCTGGCAACAACCTTTGAGTAATTAGCATTTTCAGGTTTCACCACTGTGCCTCATTTGTGTCTAAAAATAAGAAACAGTGTGGAGCTGAAACTGTAGATGAAAGGTCACAGCACCGGTTTGGCAGTATTTCAGATAGGTAAAACAAAATGGCTGATCAATAATTACCAATATTGACTGATATGAAACGCCTATATCATGACATGTTTTTAGGCCGTATCGTCTGGCCATATATCTGGGCTGATAATCCGAACCGCCATGTGGGGCTGCGGATGAAGCATGGTGTAAACAAACGGCTGTAGTCTGATAACAAACTGAGAGACCAGCAGAGCCAGGAGGGACGTCACGTCCCCTTACTATGAGCCCACCTGCATGATGGAAATTCATCTGATTCAAGCAATGCGTCTCTGTTTTGTTGTAATATTCACAGACCAACGGAGCAAGATTTGCATCAAGAGTTACATCTTAGTGAGCTTGGGTGATAAGCAGTCGAAATAAAATTAGCATAAAGTTTGTTCTTATCGATCTGGGTCATGTTACAGGAAGTGAAAGAGAACAGAGGCATGCTGTCCATGTAGAGGCAATCATTAACACAGCTAACTGAGTTCTGTTGAGTCTACACACACACACACACACACACACACACACACACACACACACACACACACACACACACACACACACACCCACACACACACACACACCCCCACACACACACACACGCACACACACACACACACACACACACACACCACACACACACACACACACCCCACACACACACACACACACACCCCACACACACACACACACACACACACACACACACACACCACACACACACACACACAGTCACACCTCACTTAACATCGTTCACGACCACGCTTTGATATGCAGGTTATCACAACTTTGGCACTTAGTGTTGCTATATCTGGCTCTGCCAAACTCCCTGAGTTTAATAGAGACGAACCTGGAGCTGCAGCCTTTAGTTTAGCGGGTCGGCTGTATGTCTGCTTCCAGTTTGCACCCCTATGAGTTTCATAAAATGGGATTGGGTTGAGTTCAGCCTCACAAATGTTTAACTGGATGAAGAATGAGCATCAGACCACAGGCAAAAGCGGACATTTTTCTCGAACGGGGCGGTGCGTTGTAGGTCTGAGGTGAACCTGCACTGCAAAAACACAAAGTCTTACAAAGTCATTTTGGTCTAGCTTTTAGTGCAAATTTCTCAGAACACTTGAAAGAAGTGCTGATTTTTTTTCATGAAAAAGTACTATTTCCATTGACAGATTATTTCATTTATAGAAAGATATTTTCCCATGTTATCAGTAAAATAATCAGTCAGTGGAAGTAGTACTTTCTCATCAAGATTAATAAGTCATTTACTTAAAGTCTCATATCTAGCTGAAAAGTTGGATTAGTTTTGCTTTATTTCAAGTGTAGGAAATTTGAACTAGAAAATAGACCAAAAAATACTTACTTACAAAAATATTAGGATTTAGTGTTTTTACAGTGTTGCTGTTGCTTGTGAATCCTGCAGATTCGCTGGAGAAAAGAAAACAAACTCAAGCAGTAAGTGGAAATGGACAATTTTCATAGCTGAACGGCTTTTTCCAAAAAGAGCTGGACTCATCAAATGATTTTAAAACTGAGAAATGCTGGTTATGAAGCTATTTGTTTTTCGGATTTTTGTACATGGTAAAGAGGGTCCAACATACCCAGTGGCTTATAACCAGACTTGGCCGCAACAATAAATTAAAAAGTACTTTTAGGAGTTAAATAAAGTGTCTTGGAAAAAATGGAATAAAACAAAAATGCTCTCAGACATAAAAAAAAAATGTTTATGTTTGTGCAGACAAAATGAAAAAATAATTGCAATAATATTGTTGAAAGAAAATGAATTTGTGTGACCTGTGAGTACTTTAAGTAATAAGGACCATTTTGGCACCTGGGGCAAAAAGGTTATGTGCTTCATCAGGAAGCAAGCTCATGTTTCAGTAATTGTCTTTGCAAAATCACCATCACCACACATTTCACATGACATATTGTGCCCAACTTTTTTTAATGTTGTCTCCATGGGGAATGTATATTTTGTGTCAGCTTGTTTTTGTTAGCTGCTCTTCAAACTGAAAAGTCAAGAACACATGTGATTCAATGAGGCGGAGATGTGCTGATTTTTAGAAAATGGCTGCTGAAAGATAGTTTATCACAGTTGTCTATAGTTAGAAAGTTTGGAAACCCATGTTGTAAACTATAACTCCTACCACTGTGATACCCATTGTGGTCACTAATCAGTTGGCTTGTCTTTGTTGTTTGTGTGCTGCAGAGCAGACGGGGCCTGGCCTCAGCATGGAGGAAATCATCAACAGACTTGAATAGTTTTTATATATATATATATATATATATATATATTATATATATATATATATATATATATATATATAATATATATATATATGTACATATAACTCACAAGTCTAATTTTAGCAACATTTTATAGTTGGATGGAGAAGTGGGGGAGAAAAAAAACACAAAAGCCAAACTGGTGTGGGAAGCAGAGCAGTGAATGTCTGGATGGAGGCCAGGGTTTGTCACAGCTGGCTTTCCTGAAGTTTCTCCGCTCCACAGCGTCAGCGCGGAGCTTCAGTGGCTCAGTATGTGGCTGTGTTCTCCTCCACAGCTCCACTGTCAGCGGCTTCACTGCAAAAATGTGAAATTTCACCGCTTACTTTTTAGTACAGTTTCTAAAGACGCACCGATCCACAATTTTCACTTCCGATTCAGATATCTGAGGTTCAGTATCATCTGATTAGATACAGAAAAACAGCTGAATTAACTTAAAACATTTCTTTTCTTTTTTTTTCTTTTAAACATGGACATAAATGTACTGAATTACAAATTTATTTGAGAACTCGGTTCCACTACAGCACACTGAAATACAGCTACCACTTCACAAGCTTGGTCAAACATTAAAAATTAGGAGTAGAACAGCCAATGCAAAATAAATAATAAAGAAACTGACAAACAAAACCCAAACTTTTGCTTTCGGCAAACATGTAAAAAATTGTTCTTCCCCCAAAGTTCTTTGAAATTGTTCAGAAAGTACAATTAGGAATTCAAAATATGATTTAAAGTAAGTAATAAACCAGGACATCTCTCAGAGCACAAATCATAGATTTAGGTTGAATAGATCTGGCACATTATCTCCAATACACAATCTTGTTTTTTTTTATTTTATTTTTTTTAATAATATTGGACCCATACAGATAAAAATATTGGATTGATGCATCTTTACGTTAAATAACTTATAAGTAACAAAAAGTAAACTAATGCCTTTTATGAAAAATTACTTGTAAGATAGTTTTGTCTTATTTCAAGTACTATAAGATATTTGCACTAGAAACTAGACCAAAAATAATATAAGACTTAGATTTTTGTGTTGTTTTTTTTTTTTTTGCAGTGTTCTCTGTAGG